ATTCTATGATTCTATGATTCTATAATATCATATGAAGAGAGCATTTGCAGATCTTCTCAATCGATTGTTGTTTCCATTCTGGCTTTACCTTTTCTTGTACTTCTTCTCCAACACTTGCAAGAACTTTGATCCCTGACCAGTACGTTAGACTGAGGGAGGGTATTTTATTTTGTAATTTGGATCTAGAGGATTGTCATTTGGATCATGAATACAAAGATATCCGTGGGTGAGTATGATTTCTGATAATTTTTGGATGGCACAAAATTACTAACCTACAATTGGAAAAAGTTTTGTCTTTTTCTGGCAGTGTTTTCTTTAGTTACCATAGATTGTCTAGCTTTCCCTTATAAGTAAGCTGTGTTGAGATGTGTATTTCTGATTAAATTCTATCCATATAAGGGCAGAAACATCCAATCTTTATCAGTATGGGCTATGACTGCCCCCATCCTTTTTAACTGATGTGACTAGGATGGAGAGACAGAAAGAGCATACAGGTGCTCAGGGCTTCAGATTAGTCTCCCTTCCCTGGCAGAAGGGGATAGACAGAGAGCTTCTTTCCTGAACGTTTTGTGTGACCAGGTTTCCTCTTCTCTGATGTTTGGAATTTCTTTTTCAGGCAAAAAGAATCTTTCTGATTGCATTCTTTCCCACCAAAATGAATACTAGCTTTTGCCCTGGCCCTTTTTTTTTTCTCTCTTGTTTAGATTAAGACGAACATATTTGTTTTGTTTTCTTCTGAGATTTTCCTAACTTCCAGTATCAGTCTATCGCTCTGCCACTAACCCATGCCCAGATGCTGCAGTTTTCCTTAAGAATTGACCGCTCTAAGCAGTACAGAATAGGACAACATGATAAGCTCTCTGCCCTTTGACAGACTCTCACTTCAGTCTAAACTATGGCAAATCTGGGGTTACAGTTCAAACTATTTCCTTATGTAGGAGAAACATGCCATCTTCATGTCTGATTCACAAAGCTCAGGCAATACAATATTTTTCCCTTCCTAAGGGCTGAGATTTTTTTGTTGTTTATCTCAGTTAGCAAGTCCCTTACCTTGCCAACCATATGCCTACCTTTTAATGTGAAGTGTCCATTTTAATTTTTTGATCTCTCACAAAATTTAAATTTTTACTCCCCCAAACAGGCATTCCTTTGGAGAGAATTACTTTTTTTTTTTTTAAAGTACATGTAACTGGACTAAATTCCAACATTTATCTTCCTTTTCTTCAGAAGACTCTTACAGTGTCACTTCAGTTTTCTTCTTCAGTTTTTAAGTTTTGTTCTGATTCAGAATGTGGCACCATGGTGTGGAGTTACTGTTTGTAAGATAGTTAAACAAGTCAGAAATGAGACAAAAGACAGTAAAATAGACTGGGGAGGAGCGGAGAGTAAAATGGGTAGCTCATGTTTGCTCAGTACCTGGTGATACATCCAAAATGTTTGTATTACTAAGGCATGAACATATGACTGTCCCAAGTTTTGTTCCTAGATGTGAGGGGTTGCAGCAAAATGAAGGAGACCCCTATCTGGATGAGATCTTGGACATGCTGACTTGCCTTACAACCTGTGGAAAAACTGAACTGAAAGTTTCTGGCAACATTGTACACCCGCAATTACCACACTTTAATTTTGAACGGACACGGTCTTCTGGTACAGTATATATATATGTGGCTATGTAGGCAGGTCATAGAAAAATGAAGCTCTATTCATTACAAGTCTTAAGGTGGAGGAAGGAGTATGAGATGGCATCTTCTGATCTATGTACTTAACGCTGCAGGAGCCTGAATGCTACCTACATCAAACTGAACTGACTGTGTCAGCTGTAGGGTCTGATGCAAGGTTGAGAACATGCCTCCCAATCACATCCCTTGTGTCCGTGACTCCTATTTCCACTCTCAGACATGATTTAACATTATAGTTATGGTGCTTGCAGTCTTAAGTAGCATTGATGTAAAACTGATCTCACCTGGTTTTATCCCACAGGAATGACAGTGAAAAACCTCCAGGCTTTTCAGGTGTTGCAGTCCATTTTCCAGAAAAGTAATGATCAGCACCTGTGTGGAAGAATCTTGGCAGCAATTGGTACCATATGGGCCTGGGACACAGTGAACTTCTTTCTTCTGGAATGGACACTGCAACCTATCAGCCAGTTTACTGACATAATCCATTTCAAACCACACCCAGTCCAAGTCCAGTTCTTCCAACTGGTGGAGTCCATAGTGCTAGACCTGTCCTATGTCCCCCATGAAATTTTGAAGAAGGTTCAGTATTTGATAAAGGAAAACATAGTGCCATTCTGCACTTTAACAGCTCTCCGGTGCCTTCTCAGCATGACCAAGAAGGACCTGTTATTCAGCGACATATTCCGTGACTCTGGGCTCTTAGGCCTACTGCTGGCACTTTTAAGGAAGCAAGCCAAGATCCTGAGGAAGTCAGGTACAACTTAATGTCATTCACAATGACTGTTGAAGTAGGCAGATCAATAGGAATGAATGAATCTCTTTCTACAGTCAATTTATAAATTTTATATATTGAGTAGATAGATTTTGTCTGCAAGCCAACTGGCCTAAGTTTATGACATACTAAGCTGGGTCCTCTCTGAAATCTTAGCTGTTTATCATTCTATTCGCTAGCCTAAACAGTTCTGGGCTATTCTTCACCAGTGTACGATGAATTATTCTGGAGGGTACCATTCAGCCCACACTTTTAAACAGGTCTCAATTTGAGGTTCTCTAGAATGCCAGCTTGAGAGTAGAGGAAGAAAGAGTTTTCCACAGTGCTTAGTTCCTCTGAAAATAACATTTAATCCTGAGGACTGATGATGGAAAGCAGTTTCTTGAATTTTGGCCATATATTACCCACAATTACTACCACCCATTGTCATCTGATATAGTTATCTCCTATTATGAAAACAGGAAGCTAATAGTCCTGGTGTGGTAACTGTGGGGTACAGCTGACTTAGGGGACAGACTCACATATTTAAAAGTTTATAACTGCTATTTTAAAGAAAGAAAAATGCATGATAACATTTTCTGTGCTGTATGAATTGGGAAATGTCTTTAAATTCCAGTGCAATTGTCATTTAGTAAAGGAGGAGGGACCCAAAGTACTAGGTATAATTTCTGATGCAGCAAGCACAATTGAATTGTTTATACACATTTATTCCAAGCAATAGAAGGAATATGAATTGCAGCAGAAGTTCCAAAGTGCAGACATCCATTACCTGCAAGGACAGTTAGATTTGCATTCTTGATATCAGAGAACTAGAGTTTTGTACAAGAGTACTTAGTTAAGGATTGTCAAGATAAATACCAAGGTTCTTGAAAATGTACCTTCTAGTTATGAGCTGGTGCATAGGGGCTTTCTTCTGTCTTTGCATTAATTTCACTGCTTTAGATCACTTGGTGATCTAAATTTTATAGAATGAGTGATTGAATGGCTATGTAATTTGTAAATTTAGACGCACAGATGAAGAGGGATGTGTGAAGCAGTACTTCCTTTTCGTTTCCAGAAATCTAGCCTGCAAACTTCAAGACTTTTAGATCTAAAAATTACCTACCTTACACTGTCTGATCCTGGAAATGTTTGCCTTTGAACATGCAGGGGGTTTCTGCTCTTCACTTTTAGTTTAGGTATTTAAGTGTTCCCTGTTGCTGTAATATTTTACCACTTCATAGCTCATAATCTGTAATGTTCTTTTATTTGTGTGTGTTCCTACCAAGTATCACTGAACAGGTAACTCTACATCAGTTGGGAAGTGGAAACACTGCTATTACCAGTATTGCCTATAGTTCTGCAGGAGATCTGGGCTGCAGAGCATAGAATCAGACCTGTGTTTCCCAATCCCAGACTAGACCCTGATGACTAGACAATGCCCTGTCTGTATTTTTTTGCTCATCTTAGTAATAAGTAATATTTAAAGAAAACTAGAATTTGCTGGAGAACTGGCTTTCCTTTTTGGTTTAATGTATTTTAGCTACAGTTAACCATGTCTTGTATAAATTGTATTATGACTTTTAATATACTGACAGCTGGAACCCCTCTGCCTGGTCTGGAAGAAGGCACTGAGAAGGAATTAAATGCTGTGATGCTGAAGATGGTGGCTGCCCTTACAATGGGGTCTGTGAGGAACACTGGTAAGAAATTACATATGACTGCATTAACTTTGTGATATTTGGTGGTAAATGGCCACGATGCCTCTTAAGGAGCACCAACTGACTTTTGTGCTTCAGTGAGAAGTGGAGAACAAAAGCTAGAAGTGTAGGGATAACAGTATTACACCAAGAAGAAATGTGGCAAAGATATTCTCATCCTGCATAATGAGCCTTATCCCAGTGGTCACCCTGCTTCCCTCATCCATGTGGATACTCCTGAAGTGTTTACATAGAAAACACAAACTTACCTTGTGGAAAACAAAACTGTGTGTGTGTGTTTTGTGTATTGCTTGTTCATCCAGATTTTATTCCATGGTATCTATTTGAAATCTTGATGGGATCAGACGCACGCTGAGTAACACTCATACATTTAGTATTGGCATATCTAAAAGGTGTATGTGTGGGAAATCTTGTGGAACATAGTAATACAGAAGTGAACTCTTCTGAATACTGGAATCTGCTCGCTTAATTCACTCTTGAATCCTAGAATCATCATGTTTGCGGCATCTTAGTGCAAATATATTGTCACAAACTATCAAACAGTCCTCTTCATAAACTAAAGAGATGTTTAAGCTGAAAACTAATAAGGCATCTTTTCCTTTTCATTCATTATTGTATTGGGAAGCTGTCATCTCTGATGATTAGAAACCATGGTCATCCAGTCATTTTATCCCTAGTTGTTCTTGTGCCGTTCAGTTTGTGTCGTCTTTAGCTTAACCAGCTCTTCGTCTTGCCTCTCCTGCTGTATTTGTAGAAATGTGGCACTTCACACCAACACTGAAAATCTGCCTTTGAAAACTACAAAAAGTACAAGTAAAGGATAGTTTAAGTTACAAATGATACCGTATTTGTCCCCAGTTGTTCTGAAGGACTATGGAATGGTGCCATATATCAAGATATTTTTGGATGATGAGTGCTACAGGAGTGCTACTCTCAGCATCTTGGAGCAGCTATCAGTCATCAACTATGAAGAATACATGAGCATTATTATTGGGGCCCTCTGTTCTTCTACTCAAGGGGAACTACATCTGAAAGTAGATCTGCTGAAGGTAATTAATGTGGCTTCCCACTTGGTTGTTGTTTTCTTGGAAACTGCTTGGCTTGTGGCAAATTGCTCTTAATCTCACCCCTAGCACTGTGTTTTTTGCAAGAAGGTAAGTGCAGAAACAAAAAGAGGCATGGGCCAGTTCTTGATTCTGGTAAATTGGGCACTTTGATTTTTAGCAGAGTGTGTGTGTGTGTGGTCAACACCTTCACTCAGTATCAGATTGCGAAGTATTTTGAAAACTTAAATACTAATGCAGGGCGGAGAAATGGAAATGGCAAAGGGCACAGTTGTATGAGCAGTTCTATGTAGCATGACAGAGAAAGGAGAAACAAATGCGAAGAAAGTGGAGAAGATGTGGAGGGAGGTTGTGAGAAGAGGTAAAGGAGTAAAATTGGAAGGGGCAGGGTAGGCATCAGATGAACAGCTTGATTCTGATAAGTTTCCAAGGTTGAAACTTTGCTGTCCATAATTTTGTTGTCTCTCGCATACACCACTGGCATGGAAAAAGAGATGTGAGATGATGGAAAGGAGGAGTTTTATGAATGTTTGGAGGAAAAAATTAGAACTATTAATAGCTTTTATTGTGTTTATAGAGGGTCTGATCCATAAGCAATGAAGCAGGGGAGAGAATCAGTGTGCTTTATTTCGGTTTAGATCATAGGCATCAAATTGAAAAGTAGCAGTGTTGTAAGCACTGATTTAAAGTTTCATTCTACCTTCTCTACCAAGTGTGAACAGAATTCACCTTTCAGCACAATATAGCAGCTGCTTCTGTGATAAAAGAACCATGTTACTTTAAAAAACCAAAAACGTGACAAAGTTTATAGCTTTGATTTGAAACAGTAAACTTTAACAATATTTGTAGAAAATTTGAGTACGGTGTCCAAACTAATATGAAAATAAATGCAGCTTCAGTGTCTAATTTTGACAAATGATAACTGTGTTAAAGCATAATGTAAGCAAATGAATTTATTATCTACATCCATTGGGACTGTGATTGTGTTACACACAAATTCAGATTGATTTGCTAATATATATTTAGCTGTTAAAGCCTGAGCCTAAATGCAATTAGCACTGCCGTATTCCAGCATGGCACGTGTGCAATTATGAGGAATAACAAATAATGGAACGTGAAATAAATTTTGTTAACGTTAACTGAGTTAGGGGGTTTCCAGCAGACATCAGTTTTATAGATTCAAGACACAGGAATACTAACTCATAGGCGATTAAATTCTAACTGAGTTAGAGCTGGAGGAAATGTGGTTACTGTTGACCTTCTCTGAAATGTGTTAAAGCCATCCTGATAACTTCAACTCTGAGTTATTAAATTTACTTCCTGTTCAGAAGTCTCTGCCTGATTTGATACATTAACATACAAAATTGAATGACAGTAATAGAGTTCCCCCTCCCCCTCCAGTTCTGGCAACCCTTTCTCACAGTCCTAGATCCTGTTACGGGGAGATATATTTATGTTAGAAACTGTTCCTCTTTAGCAGGTTGTGAAGTGAACCTCTTTCATTGGATATCTGTTGGGAAACGTTATGTGTAAAATTAGCCCTTTCCAATGTGAAAAGGTACAGCCTCAAATTTGAAGGGTCCCTGGTGCCTGAAAGAGCATCATATTTACAAAATGATTTGTGCAACATCCCAAAAACCTGGGATGGATTACATTCAAATACAGTAGACTGTTTCCTTGCAAGCTCTCTTTTCTCGCAAATTTTACTTCCACCACTACAACTCTTAATAACTTTTCTAGATTTGTTTTAAAATGGCAAGTCCATAGCATTCAAAATTTACAAGTGGTATAGGTTGGGTTTTATGCATGTGTAATATTGTCAAGTGGCATTCACTTATAACCTGCTTTAACCCCATTGAAGTTAGAGAAAATCTAATGACTTTGTTATCTTGGGATCTGAATCTTTATGGCTTTTTTTCTTCAAAGTGTTATGCAAACTTTTAAAATAACTCTGCTGAGAAAGGGAATTATTATTGCCTTTCTTAACGAGGAGAGCCTGCTGCCTGCAGTATTCTTTGGGCCATCCTGTGTCGCTGCTTTTTTGGAAATGATCTGCTCAGTCATATGAGCAAAAGTCTAGTGTGGCTCCTCATGTGTATTCAGGTCTGGAGGAAGACTTGCCTATAGAGAGCTGCGCCGCCTTCTCCATTTCTATATGAGGTTATTTACAATTGAATCTCTGCTTTCATTTATTTAAGGCAAAGGCAGATTTCTTGAGAGAGTCTGAGAAGACTGATGAAAGAATAGCCAAAGGTCTGAAACTACCTCTGGCGAAACTGACTGGGATATGTAATGCAGGAAATTTGATTTCTTTGCTTACTCCTGTGAGGACTATTCCCTACCTGTCAGGCTGACTCCATGGGTTGCTCCTGAGGGTGCATTCAAATCTTGGTTGTTTGACCCATTGGTTATATGGGGGAAGGGAGGAGGAAAAAAGTTATGCAGTGGTGACCTTTACTTTGACCAACTCTTCTTTTTTCTTCAGAGAGTGAAATTTCAATGAAAGGATTTTGGTACAAACTTGGAATTTTAAAATATTCTAAATCTTCTTTGTCCCTTGGTTTAAGTGCTTCTTTTGTCTCCTTTCTTCCCAATGTTTGTAGTCACTCCTGAGGATACTGGAGAGTCCCAAGAGCCATTCAGCTTTCAGAACCTGCAGTGGATTCAATGGACTCCTATCCCTTCTCTCAGACATGGAAGGTGCATTGCAGGACCCTCCATCTGGGCTGTGGACAGCAGTTGGACAGAATAGCATATTGGAGCTTGTTTTCTACACGCTTCAGGGGATAACAGCAGCCCTGCACCTGGACCCTGTCAACAGCAACTTCTTCCAGAGGAATGGTCTCTTTGAAAAGATGGCAGAGGATCTCGGGTCACTTGGATGCTTCTCGACACAAGGGGAATGGCAAATCCCTCTGAGCCTTGAGAAGACAAGGACGTTTGCAGAATTCTTGGATGCAGCTTTCTGCTCTTCAGAACCTTTCCCAGTGTGGCTAAAGAACTGCATATGGATTCTGAATTTTCTTGATCATATGGTCAAAGGAACCCTCCATCTGGAGAGCTATTTCAAGGAGAGAAAGCCAGAGATGGGAGAGGCATCAAGAGATGATCAGGAGGGCCAAGCTCAGGAAGAGCATTCTGTTACTTTCAAAAGACCAGGGAATGAATTACCTGCATCTGCCTACAGGCTACGGGGAAACCCTGCAGAGAAGTAAGTATTTATTTACTACAGGAAATATAATAGTAAGACTGGTATCTGCATTTTATATGGTAGTAAACAGAGGTAAGGTGCGACATAACCTTCCTAGAACAAACAAATCAGTGCCACAGTCCCAACTCCCAGGTCTCCAGACAGCAGAAATCACCTCTTTTTGAAGGTAAATGATGGTAAACATTGGGGCATAAGTGTTCAGTGGAGCAGTGGGACACACAACCCCGAGAGCTGCAGAGTTTGTGCTGAAGGTTCTGACACATGCAATGTGGGAGCAGGACTGGGCTCTAAGGAAAGGGTTGCTGGGACTTGAAGCTTGTGTTTAGTCTCTGCTTGAATCTGCCCCGATCAATTTTGACTTTTTCAATTATGTGGAAAGCTGTTTCCAGTCACCTGATACCTTAAAAATAAAAACTATTTTTAAGTTTTTTTAAATGCTCCCTCATGCATGTGAGCCTAGGCACATGTGTACAGACACACACACTCTCACTCATTTACTCATACAGCTGAAATAGAGAAAATTGGAAAAGGAATAGTAATGCTGCCTGCCTCGTATAATGAAGGATTATATCAAAATATATATCCTTTGCAGGAAGGAAAGACTACACCAGAAATCAACGTAGCTGTCAGCTGTGCATCAATTCTGAATAACTTGCATTTTGTAACTTATGAGATCTTCTGCCCCTTAGTGTCTGTAGCTTTATCTTGGATCTCTCAGTCCTTTTCTCAAAAATGTTTCTGGTTGGAGTTATGCTTAAAAAGGCTAAGTTTATAACTGTGAGCCCTTCAGCCCTTATTGTAGGTTATTCCAC